TTTTATTATTATGTAGCAGTTGTTCATATTTAAGTAAGCGCTCGGAAAATTGCACATTTGATATAATAAAAATTTCACAACTGTCAATAGCTTAGCTGTATTGGTTCAGTATGTCGACGTATATATATATATTGATATAGATATATGTGTACATATCTAATATATCTATATATTGTATGTGCATATATAGATGTATATGTTTATATATGAACATATTAATTATGAATGCAAATTATATCAGCTTGTAGTTAATTGTTAATTGTGCAATACAATTAGGCGCACGTGTATTCTATAGCATAAGGAGTATATAGTAGCAATAGCTCAAAATGAGCAGTAAAGCTAATAGAGATGATGTCTTTAAAATACCATCTGTCAAAAATGCATTGACTTCATATTTGTGTATACAGTATGTCAATAATGTCTTCGCACAGCAGAAAGTTTTCCCTGCAGATTTTTTGAGTGAAAATAAAAACAGTTATTATTAAGAAACTATCCCCATATATGAACTCGTTGATCTGATCAGCTATTAAAGCTAGTGACTTGAAATTCTTTGTGTCTTCCTATGCTTTACATTATATCGATTTTAATTTAATCGATTTGAAATGTTATCGAGCTGCAGCTTTTAAATAAGATCTCGTATATCTCTAGAATACAGACTAGAGTTTGTATCTAGTTTTATGTATATTTTATACAATTTTGGTATTTTAAACATTTTTTATATATTCTATATATTCTGTTCAAGGACAGGCTTGGGGATAGACTTCAGCTGGGGTTTCTATGAGATATTATTGAATATTTCAGATTCAAGGAGTTTTTAACAACAAATTTAAATGCATTAATTAAGCAAATTATGTCAAACTAAAATATATGAAAGTAAAACCATATTATATTAGGCCTACTTTGCATATTTATTTCTAGTAATACATATGTATATTTATCGATATGTATGTATTATGCATATACCTGGCTGGCTTTGACAGCTTTCAGCTTTGCGTATTTTTTGCATAAACTTTTAAGGTTTCTGTCGAAAAGTTGTTGTCAAGCCAAATCGAATCTCTTGAGCAACTTGGCCTAAACTTTGCATCAATTCAATTAAGCGGGCATGTGTGTGTGTGCAGGTGTGTGTTTGCGCGCGTGTGTGTGCGTGCTTGGCCGCAAAATGCTAATTGGAATGTGTTAATTTGATTGGCAGGCTGTTTTGATTTTGAGCCGATTGACTTTTTTAGACCATGTTAAGGCAACGACACCTTGTATATGATGTTATCCAGATTTTCGTTATGGCAATTGTTGCTGTTCTCCTTGTTGTTGTTGTTGTTGTTGCTGTTGCTGTTAGTGTGTTGTTCGTCTTCTTCTTGTTTTGGCACAGTTCAAATCCAATGAAATAACTAAAAGCGACAACGAAGCTAATGAATAAATATGAGCCATAAACGGGCAGCAATAACTTTTTAAAACAGCAAAAACGACAACAACAACAACAACAACAGTAGCTGCAGCGGCAAACTAAAGGCAATAAAAATCGCGCATTAAAATGGGCAACATTTTGTAAATAGATACCCTGTAATTAGAAAATAGGTCATGCTCGAGGCAGGCTAGCTGATAAGTTGTATATTAATTGTTTATTTTGAACATTTCTTGTTTATAGTTTGCTAACGTATAAGATCTTGTTTTTGGTGTCTACAGGGCATCGCAAAGTCGCGCATGCGCAACGATCAAAAAATCTATTTTGCGTTTTATTTGCTTCTCTTTTTTCGCATGTGGCTGTTTAGCTAGCCTATAAGGCACACACACACACACACCCTAACAAACACACACACACACACAGACAGATAAATCATGCAATCTCTTTTACTACTTTTGCAGCTTAAAAACAAATAAATAAAATTAAAAATTCCGAATGAAACCAAAAAAAAAAAAGAACAGTGAAAAATCGCGTGTGTGAAAAAACAACGGAAAAAAACTCTTTGAAAACAAAAACAGAAAAAGAAAAGAGCAATCTTTGTTGAGCGAGCTTTATAGAAGAGTGGGCTTACAGAATGTGTGAAATTCAAGAGAGGCGGAGAGAATAATTGAGTGTGTGAGTGAGAGAGTGAGCGAGAGCAGCGTAGGACATTTAAGCAAATGAGTGAGTGGGCGTGCGACTGAGCGCTAGTGCGTGTGTGTGTGTAGGGCAGACGCAAAGAGAAAGACAGAGAGAGTGAGAGTGAGAGCAGAGCAGAACTGAGCTGAGCAGAAGAAGAAGCAGAGCAGCACTAAGAGCAGCTGTGTGAGTATTTTGGACAACGTAACAATATTTCTGCGTCTTCTGTCTCTCAGTGTTGTTGTTGTTGTTGTTGTTGTTATTATTATTGTTGTCCCTATACTTGATGTACCTTTACGTTACGTTCCTCTACTTGCTGTTGTTGTTGTTGTTGTTATTATTATTGTATATGCGTGTAAATGTGTGTATATAAATTATCTCTCGTTCCTTATCTTTGTACATCGCGGCGGCACAACTGTTCATTTCAGCTATGCCAGGCCATTCATACATATATACATACATATATATGTATATGTATGTATGTATAATTGTATATCACTTTAGCTCCGTCTCATTGGCTCATCTCCCTCCGCCTTCTGCACTAAACTGTTTTATTTCCTTTACATTTTTCAATGCTTCACTCATTTGGCAAATTGTTTCTTTCTCTTGTGCTTCTTATTTTGGCCAACAAATTTGCACCTGTCTGCAATCATTTTATTTTGGAGGGCAGTTCCTCCATGCCCCACGCCCCATCCTCCATGCTCCATGGCTGGCAGAAAGGAAAACCGTTTATCATGATTGCGATTACATTTGATTCCGATTGCCAAATGAATTTGTTGAAAGATGAAAAAGAAAAGAAGCGAGAATCAGAAAAAAAAAAAAAAAACAAACCAACAGCAAAAAGCATCACACAGCATCTAGAAAAGTATCTCACGCTCTTCTACATGTTTTATTGAAGTACATTAAGTCGGCGCGCAAATTGCCTTTTAGCCAATTTGATTGCCCTCAAAAACTTTTCAATTTATATGGCCCGAAGCGATAAGTAATCGCACCATTCAATCGATATATGTATGTTTCTGTTTCCATTCATTCTTTCATCCATACATTCATTCACTTATTTCGTCAAATTAACTTCTATGCGATTTATTTTATACAATATTTTTTCCTTTTTGTAAATAAAATTTAAAATATTTTAATCTTGAATATTTGTTAAGTTGTTGGCAAGTTATATTTATATATATCATGGATCTTGATATAAGTTCCGTTATTTCTTTTTGTTTTTTTTTGGACTCGAGTTATATGAGTATTCGAGTATGTCATATATTTGATTAGCTATCTATAAACTATATAAAATCTTAACTGATAACTTTTCGATTTTCGTTTGTTATATAGACCGTAAAGCTTTATAGCTATCAATGCGGTAAGACAATGAATGTAAGACACAAGAAATATAGCTTACTTTTTCTATAGCTGTCATATATGAATTTGGGCTTAAGTTTTTGAAATCTCATGTAGGTTTAGCGCCGTGGTATTCTATTTTCATTCATTTAACATGCTGTTACTAACTTAACATTACTGTTAATGTTGAAGAAAAATATATATACAACTCATAG